ATGCGCATTTTGTTAGTAATGCCGGTTCTGTAATCAGCAGTAAATCATCATCACATGCTTTCAGATGGAGCAGCACTTACTACACAAAGCCGTAGTTCACTGACAAGTTACACAAAAAAATCGCAGGCGATATTATTGCGCGATTATCAAATCGAAGAAATCGTTTGCGATAATGACAGCTGTTTGCATAGCTTCTCAGTGAATGAAAATCACAGTTTCTGTCTAATCGTGATTTCGATTCCATTTAGATTTATCGTGCAGCCCTAAGTCGTTTGACTGAATCGGTTGAATCTCAATGACTCACTCATTAATTTCACATTTTGACTATTTCTTTCATCTTTTAAATTATTTCAAAGATCAGTATTCAACGTTTTATTTTAAAAACAAAACATTAGGCCTATTTATGCATCTGTAACTGCAGTTTAAATGCATCCATGTCCCCTCTGAGATACATAAACTGTGTAAATACATCTTAATGCTATTTCAGATGCAGATTCCAGAAATGTTTTCTTATGTTGCTTCTTATTCTTACCCAAAAATACAAAATGGAAGAAAGAGTTAAAACTGAACACAATCTTGCTACTCAACCTGTGTATGAACAATTTTTATATATATTTATTTGCTTCTTTTCCATTTTGCATTTACTTGTACTTTTACTTTCAATACTTAAGTACGTTTAAGATTTTAAAAATTATTTTCGTACTTAAGTATATCAATAAATATCACATACTTTAAGACTTTTGCTCAAGTAATATTCTAAATGGTGACTTCAACTTATACCAAAGTCATTTTCTGGTAAGATATCTGTACTTTTACTTGAGTATTGCTTTCAGGTACTTTATACACCACTGGTTACAGGTGGTCAAGTGACACCTGTAACTTATTTGTTCACAGGCTTTCCGTGGACTGCATTTTTATGCAAATAAAGCCATTTTATGAGCTCCAATGTACATGGAACTGCTGGATGGTGTTTCCTAAGCACTGTAATGTAGATATTACACAATAAAATCATTGTATTTATGAAATATGACCTATTAATGCATTGTCCATGGAAAGCCTGTGTAGGTCCTGTCAAATAAGATACTGTTTCCTGTGTACTATACTACGTTTTGCATAATAAAATAATTATAATCATAAATTATGCCTTATTAAAGCATTGCCCATGGAAAGCCTGTGTAGACCCCGACAAATAAGTTACAGGTGGTCCAGGCTTTCCATAGACAGACCTTTTTAAATCTAAATGTGAATGCTGATGTGTTGTAATGTACATTAACTTGTTATGCTATGCTCACTGTGTACTGTACTGAATGTTTCATATAATAAAATCATTATGATCATAAATTATGACTTATTAATGCATTTTCCACGGAAAGCCTGTGTAGGTCCCGTCAAATAAGTTACAGGTGGTCAAGTGAATCTCCTTTGTTAGTCTGTTCCTGGCCTGGTTGTACAATATTTTATCCACACTTCTGTAAGCATCCTTTTTGGCGTGACGAAGCTGCTTGAGTTTTCCAGTAAACCATGGTTTATCATTATTGAATGACAGGAATGTCCTGGTAGGAATGCACATATCACAGAAACTGATATAAAATGTTACAGTTGCTGTGAGCTTGTCCAGATTGGTGGTAGCAGCTTCAAAAACACTCCAGTCAGTGCAGTCAAAGCAGGCTTGTAAATCTTTTTATAGTCCTTAATTCAGGTTTAGCTGATTTCAGTTTCTGCCTGTAGGTCTTTATAAGATGAACGAAACAGTGATCAGAAAGCCCCAAACCTGCCCGTGGGACAGAGTGTGGTGTAACAGTGATCCAATTTATTACTTTCTCTAGTGGGACATGTAACATGCTGTCTGTATTTTGGCAGTTCACAGGAGAGATTTGCTTTGTTAAAATCAAAAAACATCCTAATAATCAAAATCAAATAATCCAAATATATTTATTTATTTATTTATTGCTGTTCAGTATTGTGTGTTCAAATTCAATTCTTTGGTATTTGACCTTTTCTTTTCTAGTGCTTTTCATCTACTGTAAGATCTCTTTATAGTAGTGTAATAAAAGTAAACTTTTCTTAAAGCTTATTGCTGAATTTCACTGTATCTGCACCACTCTGTTTATGTTATATACTGTAACAGGCATTGATTTACAAAATGATTCCTGATTCCCAAAAGAAGGTTTTTCTAACAGTGTTTTGATTTGATCTCACTAGCAGGGGTGTGTCCAGGATTTTACACTCGGGGTGGTACGTAATTGTACAAAAGATGCAACACCCCCTTTAACTCCTGATGGCTATATATTGCTCACATTTAAGTTAAGCAGTTTTGGAGAGATTTATGGTAAAAAATATATATATTTATTTGCCTCAAAAATATATTTTTGTACATATTTACACAAAATTGGAACAGTAAATGTAAAACCTCACTTTAAAGAAGATCTATTTTTTTTTTGTTATTTGTTTGTTTGTTTAAATTCATGTAGATAATTCATGGAAAATGTGCCATTAAGTGGAAGATTTCTGCCGCCTGGTTGAAAACAAACACTTATAAAATGAAAATAACATGATATTACCACTTTAACTAGCAGATGGCTGCAGAGAATCACTCATTGGTTCATTTGCCATTTCCAATACAGTTCTTTTTACGTTTTGCTTTTGGATTTATATTTAGACATTAGAAAATCACTAATATAACATTTTTTATATTATGTCCTCAGTTTAATGCTTTTTTGTTTGTCTTTTGTCTTTTTCTGTTCTGCATCCCAGAACGTTTCTCTCCTCTATTCATTTTGTTTAGGACATGACTGTGTCTGTGACAAAGTCGAAGGGTGAACTCATTTAAAATGCTAAACAAATGTTAAACAAACAAAAAAAACTCTTCTTTCTCCTTTGTTTATTTTAACCAATAAACTTTTGATTATTTATTTTATTAAAGAAGATTTTCACAGAATGATTGTGGCATAATGTAAGAACTTAAGAGCCCTTGAGCAGATCTAATAAGAATTTGAAAAAAACAACAACAACGAATGAATGAATGTGGTGTTATTTTCTTTTCTTTTTTAAAGTAAGTGTCCATTAAAGAATTTGCCAAGCTTGGTTATCAGCATTAAAAAGTTAAAATCTGTCATTTTTGCTTTTTGCAGCAAACATTTTGTTCGGAAGTACGTTTTCATCAGTCATTTTATCAGTCATTAAATGAGATACAGATAGAAGCACAGTAAGATTACATTTATTTGAATGCATTTGTGAGAGACCAACTGCGTGTGAACATCCTGCCCTTCTGTGCAACGTCTCTCTACTAATAGTGAAGCTGTGGGTTTTAATACTTAAAAACATTTTTTTTTTGCTATTTTCTGTTTCTAAGCAACTTTATTGATAAATCACAGGACAGCATTGACAATACGTTTTTGTTTCTGTGTGTGGGATCTGTACATTCTCTGACTTTCAAAAAATCCTCAATTCAGTCAAAATCAAGCTGCACCTCTCCTCACTCCGCTCTCATTGCACTCCGATCCCATTACTCTGCTTTGGGGTGGCAAAGTTCATTTGTAGGGTGGCAGTTGCCACCCCATGCCACCCTTGTGGACATACCCCTGCTCACTAGTGTTCTCTCGGCAGTGAAGTAGTCTGTGTATTTGACAGGTTTGTGTGTAATCTGAGGCCAAAGATTAGATTCTGATAAAAGATAATATGTTTTTGCCTAAAATATTTGATTTTGAGCTGGAAATCTGAAGTTTGTACAACTTGGTGAGTAGTTTTGAAATTGTGTTTATAGTAGAAATTTATAGTAGAAAATGGTTAATTGTTTCATGAGTTGTGTGTTAGCAATCGAGAAAAACTGTAATTTAACAACTAATCAACAGATTAATTATCAAAACCATTGCTAGCTGTAGCACTAATATAAGTATAAAGTTAACGATAAATTATCAATCTAACATAAAATTAATATAAATCTCTCTTTTCAGTGAAGAATGAAGCAAACAAATCTACACAGAGATCAGATGAACTAATAACTGTTAATGAACTCATTAAATCCTTAATGAATGACTCTACTAATAACACAAGACTCATTTGCATATGAGCAGCAATATTCACATTATCAGAGACTGAATCAATGAAATGAATTGTTATTAGTTCTGATCTATTATACTGATATTTCCCAAAACATCAATAAACCAAAATCAACCAATCAAACAAACAAACAATCAGAGAGTAGTTAGAGACCCGCTCCTTATGCAGAGGCACCAGGACAGTACTATGGATCAGATGATAATATCATATTTCCTGTTGTAAATGAGTGTTTCTTCATCTTTGAGTTTGTTTATTTCTTATTAAATAGGTAAATTTTCCACCTTTTTCTTTTATAATACAAGATATAAGGAAAAAGTGGAAACCACTAAATAATCCAAATGTCTGCATATATATATATATATATATATATGAGGAAGAAGAACCTGCTTTACAAACCTTCAAACTGGCTGTTATTAAGCCTCTCATCAAAAAACCACAACTTGACCCCAAAGAACTAGTTAATTACAGACCGATCTCGAATCTCCCTTTTCTGTCCAAGATACTAGAAAAGGTAGTATCCTCACAATTATATTCCTTCTTAGAGAAAAATGGTATCTGTGAGGATTTCCAGTCAGGATTTAGACCATATCATAGTACTGAGTCCAGCGATATCGTTGACTTGATTGCACAGATACTATTTAAACTGAACTGAGCTGGATGATGACATCACTGAATTCAATGATGAACTGCCTTTAACTGAAAAATTAGTGTTTACTATTGTCATTTTGCATTATTGACACACTATTTTCCTAATTAATGCTGTTCATTTGCTTTGACACAATCTGTATTGTTAAAAGCGCTATATAAATAAAGGTGACTTGACTTGACTTTACAGACTCGCAGACACAACTGTTTTACACAAGAACCAGGAAACAGGAAACAGTTCATGGAAAGAGAAAGTGAAAGTGTAGTTGATCTGTTGTGTGTTTAAGTCTCTGTATTCAAGCGATAAAATGGCAGAAGCCAGAATTTTTCAGGATGAGTTCTCGTGTCCAGTGTGTCAGGGTCTTCTGGAGGATCCAGTGACCATTCCCTGTGGACACAGTTACTGTGAGAGCTGTATTACAGGCTGCTGGGAACAGGAGGATCAGATGAGAGTCTACAGCTGCCCTCAGTGCAGACAGACCTTCAGTCCAAGACCTGCTTTAGCTAGAAACACCATGCTGGCTGAAGTGGTGGAGAAACTGAAGAAGACCAAACTCTCTGCTGACTGTGATGCTGAAGCTGGAGATGTGCAGTGTGATGTCTGTACTGGAAGAAAATACAAAGCCGTCAAGTCCTGTCTTGTGTGTCTGAACTCTTACTGTCAGAATCACCTTGAACAACATGAGAGTTGGTTTGAAGGAAAGAGACACAATTTGACTGAAGCCACTGGACGACTGCAGGAGATGATCTGCCAGAAACATGAGAAGCTCCTTGAGGTTTTCTGTCACACTGACAAGAAATGTATATGTATGCTGTGTACGATAGATGGACATAAAAACCACGACACTGTATCAGCTGCAGCACAGAGGACAGAGAAACAGGTATTTAAAACTAGACACTGATGAAATAATGCTGACACTCATTTCATGTGTTTATATCGGCACCATATTAACAGCTTACAGCATTCCCACTGCACACGACAGCAGAAATGAACAGCAGCTGCAAGAAGAGTTTCATTGTTTGCTGAAAATGCACCAGAAACCTTCATCAACACAATATTTCATAAAATAGACTTTGATTAAACAACATAAAATAATGGAGTGAACTATTCACCTGTTCTTTGACAAAATACATACTTTCATCTGTCAAAATACAAGTTCTGCTAAACAGCAGAAACACCGTGAGTGTGAAGCTCTGTGTCTGCGTCAGTTTCACTTTTATAATACTTACACTTACAGTGTGAAACAGGCCTTAATATTCATCATGTTCAATTTTTGTAACTGATCATCACTTCTGGAGTTTGAACCTACAGCCAAATCATGTTCCTGTGGCTCAGTGGTAGAGCATTGTGTCAGCAGTGCAAAAGGTTGTGGGTTCAATTCCCAGGGAACACACATACTGGTAAAAAATGTATAGCCTGAATGCACTGTAAGTTGCTTTGGGTAAAAGCGTCTGGTAAATATCAGTTCCACTTTTTTTGGATTCATTGATGATTTAGTGCCAGTAGTTTTCTGTGAGATTCACTATCATCTGTTTGTCCTGCAGAAGCAGCTGAAGGAGACGCAGAAGACGTTCCAGCAGAGAATCCAATGCTCTGCACAGACAGCAGTGGAGGACAGTGAGAGAATCTTTGCTGAGCTCATCCGCTCATCCATTGAGAGAAGCCGCTCTGAGCTGATACGGCTGATCAGAGATCAGGAAAAGCAAGCAGTGAGTCGAGCTGAAGGACGACTGGAGCGACTGGAGCAGGAGATCAATGATCTGAGGAGGAGAGACGCTGAGCTGGAGCAGTTTTCACACACACAGGATCACATCCAGTTCCTGCAGGTAACAGAGATCTAGAAGAACAGGATCATAAGGGCCTTTCGCACCGCGGGAACCTTTTCATAGTACCAGAACTAATTGTGGAACTACCCACTTTTTGGCGTTTTCGCACCGCCGGAACTTTGTCCGACATGAGTTCCGCTCCGACTCTGCTGGGGTGCAGGCCATCAGCGCGAAAAAGCCTAGGACGCTCCCAGAAAAGATTCCAATTATTAACAAAGAGCAGTTTCTGTTCTTTACACCATGACAATTCATTCATTTAAAGCAAAAAGTCTACTGAACCTTTCGTGTCCTCGTCGATACGTGGGAAGAGGTCCTGACACGATGATCGTCGTCGCGGGTATCTGCCGTCTCAATCAGGCTCCTGAAGTCCCTCTTCAGTGTCTCCGTCTGCCGCAGCTTGGTGTCGTTAACCCCGGCATGAAGCACGACCGCTCCGGGGCTCTCGTCGCCCCTTCAGGATCGCGGGTATCTGCGCAGAAACATCGAGAACACGAGCACCAGGGAAACAGTGAGTGTGCATTTTACCTTCAGCTAACGTAGCATGGATGTGCCAGACGAGTCTCTGACGATCACAGCGTCGCATCCTGTCTCGCGGAGGGGAGCGAAACGATTCCGGGTGGAGATCTTGCGGAGGGGGAGAGGTCATCGCCCGGGGTCTGGCTCGCGTCTTCCACTGCGGGTGCACCCAGGGTCCGTGGTGTCCCGGCGCCGGAGTGAAGGACATCTGGGAAGATCGCGTCCTGGGTGCACCGGACCTGTGCAGAGAAACACACGGAGTAGAGGTGGTGGGAGAGTTAGCAGTGCGCTGTATACTTACCCCGGACTTGTGAGCGTCAGCGCGGGAGGTTTCCAGCGCGGCTCTCCGCTCCATCAGCTGGGCCTGCTTCTCCACCAGGTCTGCGGATCTGCACCTAATGCAGCTCGAACGTATCCTCACCTGCACTCAAAGGTGGACACACGTCCGCCATTAAAGCAAGTAACAGTGAGTAAAACAATGGTAACGTGTGTCAATACAGTATTAGCAACGTAAGCGAGATTAGCGGCAACCATGCTCGCGATGCTAATGGGCTATAAGCTAATAGTGGACTCGGGAAAGCAAAATAAAACTAGTGATAACAAGGCGCTCTGATTGTTTTTGTCGTAGAATACGATAGGGGATACATTCATACGTTATAGAAACAAAAATTATGGTGTATAAAATTGATTTTAAGATAAAAAATTAGACGACAAAGAATTAACTTGACGGAGCTCAAACTCAAAACACACGGCATCAGTTGAGATAAATCAGGCAGGTTATTTGTGAATCTGTCTTTGGTGGCTGGAACAATAGTTCTGCCCGGACGATAACGCGGAGCCATATAGTTAATATCAGTAATACGTAGCATGTATGATCCAAGGAAATGGTCAGTAACATCACTTTGAGGTACGTACGATATCTATATCAGTAAGATCGATTCCATGCGATATTATTAAATCTAGCATATGATTAAAACGATGAGTGGGCCTGGTGACGATTTGCTTGACTCCAAAAGAGTTTATTAGGTCAGTAAACGCAAGTCCTAATGCATCATTTGTATTATCAATGTGAATGTTAAAATCTCCGACAATTAGCGCTTTATCAACAGTAACCAATAGGTCTGAGAGGAAATCTGCAAATTCTTTTAGGAAATCTGTATATGGCCCTGGTGGTCTATACACAGTAGCCAGAGAAAGAGATAAACAAGGCGCTCTGATTGTTTTTGTCGTAGAATACGATAGGGGATACATTCATACGTTATAGAAACAAAAATTATGGTGTATAAAATTGATTTTAAGATAAAAAAAATAGACGATAAAGAATTAACTTGACGGAGCTCAAACTCAAAACACACTGCTAATTAATGTTAATTATTAACAATATTCCTTTCTCTCAGCTCTTTCTTCTGGAAGATATATTTTAGCTGTCAAACACCACTAGCACCACCAACAGTTCAAAACTTCACTCACTCAAGTTTTTACCATTTCTTTCTGATTTATTACATCACCGTGAAATCAGTGAACTCATTATTACCGATTCTGAGTAATGTTCATCAAAATTGGATCAGGTGATCCTCAAACCTGATAAAACTGATTTATATTGGCCTGTAACACATTGATGATCATAAAGACTCCAAACATGAAGTGAGTCTTTATATTAGCAATGCTTCAGCGTATTGAAACCATACCTGAGTGTGTCTTAAAGAGTCCCTGTGAAGTTTCAGTGTCTCTAACCACTGCACAACATTATAAATAATGATCAATCCAATCGTAGCTTTTGAGCTGCTTTTCCTGAGCAAATCTATTCAACCCTACAATGAGACTCCATTGATGTGCTTGAGCGGTTAGATGGACATTTATGTTCTTAGCAGATGTTTTATCATCCAAACTATTTCCTAGAAAATTCACATATACAGTAGTGTAAGCGGCAAATACTAGAATCTGTAGCTCTAATGTGATTTAATGAATATAAGAAGAATGAAGCTGATGCTGTGAAAGTGCTGGATTGAGGTGAGTTACTAAAGATCAGTCAAGTCAACAAGAGCCGCACAAATCTGATGTTGGTGCAGGTTATTGGGTAAAGTGTGGTTTTGATTTCTGTTTTGTAGAGTTTCCAGTCTCTCTCAGCACCTCCTGAATCTACAGATGGAAATGATGATTCCTTAATTTCTCTCTTCTCTTCTGATGGCCTGAGAGAATCTGTCCATCAGCTGAGAGACAAACTGGAGGATTTCTGCAAAGAGGAGCTCAAGAAGATCTCAGACAGAGGTAAAGTCCTGCAGATTCATCTGCTCTCAGAAACCAGTCCATCATCAGCTCATATCATGGAGAACATCATATTAGAAATGTGTTAGGAATAGATGCAGGATCATGAGAATCACACTGTTCATGTCTGTTGATTTCCACAGAAACCCTCACCAACATTGTTCCCAGAACCAGGAACCACTTCCTACAATGTAAGTCAGTAAGAAAACCAGCAGAAAACTCACCGAGTGTGATCATGTTCTTCCTTTAGAAGCTGAAA